TTAAACGAACACTTGGTTCTGCCTATTTTCATTAAAAATGAGTTTTTAAAAAAACAAATCAGAAGTCCTGATTTTACCCCCTTATGATGATCAAATGGGGCTTTCATGTTGTTATCTTATACTTTACTTTTTTTAAAGGCAAGTAGCAGATATCACAACATAGTAAACAATCAAAGACTTATTCGGTGGAGTTCTTCTTCTTCTACAAAAATGTCATGCTATTTATCTTGTATTAACACATCTCTTAGGTAGCATAAGCTTATTTAATTACTTCTGAATAAGATTACAGAGTAAATAAAGAAGTGATCCTGTCCTCTATTCTATCACATAACAAAACTACATTTCCAACTGAAAATAGGATTGCACTTATACAGATGATATATTTAATTTTAGAAGAACTGAGAGGAAGGAACTGCATTCCTAGGTTACTCTGCAGTACACTAAATGATGATCTCAATCCCTGAAAAAGGACTTGATTCAGAGTCTAAAAATAAATCACAATAAATGCTAGAGTTTTTTAATTCCCTAAAAACATTTATGTGCATACAGCACCATTAATAAGAGTGCACCCTATGCACAAATGTTTTTCTTCTGATGTGATAGACATTTGTAGTTGTGGCCTGTCATGTCATCTGTCGGCATATTAAACAGTCCCCAAGTACACATTGATACAGCAGACCTTAATAGCTTGGAAGCCGTAACAATCTATTGAGTCAATAATTGGCATGTTAAAGAGCATCTAGTACTTTGCATCAGTGTTTCAGCTTATTTGCTTACCTATCTACCTATTTATCTAATTTGCTTATCAATCTATCATTCTATCTATTGGCTTTGCTTATCTAAATGCAGATAATTAAGATAAATTTGAGTTGATAATTCATATAGGTCCTTTGCAAATTGCCCTTCCAAATTTTTGCAGAACCTGAGGAAGTACCAGTACTTTGGTTATGCTGACTGAGGGATTTGTGGAGCTGTGATCCAAAAGATAATTTTTCCAAACCTTGTACATGCCATCCTTCATAATTTTTTCTCATCTTCTTCTGAAACTATCAAATTCAGTAATCCTCAACATACCTTAGTAACTGGAAGGTTAGTACCCTTTGATGGAAAAGGGTCCTAGTTCTGGGCAAGGAGTCCATAGATTCTATTGATAAGAAGTTTGAACTTTTTTTATTGTGTCAGAGGCAACTTGAGAAACTGGTGTGACAGAATTTGCCATCTGCAGCTATGTTGCTCAGGGGATGCCTGGTTGTGTAACCATCCTGTGGGAAGCTGGAGCTGACAGACAGGAGCTCACCCCATCTCGTGGATTCGAACCGCCAACCTTCAGGTCAGCAGTTCAGCCAGCACAAGGGTTTAACACATTGCACCACCGCAGCTCCAGACTTGAACAAATAATACGCTGTGACTCAATATCCTAAAGCCACCAGAATCAATCTCATAGAAGCTGAAGAGGGCCAATTCTAGTTAGTGCTTCAGTGGAAACAGTCAATCAATATCAGATGCTGCGGGATATATTTCAGAGAAAGGAATTGGCAAACCACCTCTGAGTATTCCTTGCCTAAGAAAACCTATGAAAGTAATGGGGTCACCATAGGTTATTATGCGACTTGAATGCATACATGGGTGTTTTTAATGCTCAGTGCCTTGCCAAAATAAGTACATATCCCATGGCTCTGCAGAAAACTTACTTGGACCAGACTGTAGGTGGCCCAATGAGTATATAACAAATACCTGCTCTTGATAGTAGCAAAAAACAATTTTGCTTCAAAACTCAATTGTAACCAGAAAATTGAAATCTGTGTCGTTATGACATCAGGAAACAACTGAGCTAAATAAGAAGTACAGGAATTATATTCATCCTGTTTATCATTAGTGTTTCAGTTTATTTGCTTACCTATCTACCCTAGTTGGAGTTTTTGCTATTGTCTTTATCTGACTGTTTTATAAATCACAGCGACCACCCCATTTCCTAGAAAGACTCCTACATATCTTCAGTTTCACACCTTCAGTTTCAATGAAATAAAATATCATAGTAAACAAATTAACATTATGTTTGGAGAATGGAAGGCTGAATATGATAGAGGGTGAAGAAGCAGGAAACCTGTGCACTGACTTTTCTCTATACCTTAAGTGTGCCTTTGATGCCACAAATTAAGCAAATGTGATACCTATGAATGCAAAAAAGTTTGTTTAGTACAACTCATGCTACTTGCTCAAAATGTCAGCGAGGCAGAATTCACCACATACTTAACATAAAATTTATATTTTCTTCATTTCCCAATAGGATTCTAAATCCAGGTTCATAGACTCTTTCACTCATGTATGATCCTCCTACATGCATATTTGAAAACATCCAAAGAACCATCTAAATCAGATTAAAATTAAAACACTGGTGTTTCAGAATTGCTCTGTATGAAGGTTGGAAAGACAAAGGGAGACTATATGTCTCAGTTAGGTCAAGGCAGATTTGTGCTTCTCATAGAATCATAGAGATGGAAAAGACCTCGTGGGCCATCCAGTCCAACCCCCTGCCAAGAAGCAGGAAAATTGCATTCAAAGCACTCCTGACAGATGGCCATCCAGTTTCTGTTTAACAGCCTCCAAAGAAGGAGCCTCCACCACACTCCAGGGCAGAGAGTTCCGTTGGTAGACCATTTATAATACAATCTCATCTTCTAGATCAGGTAGAAGAATCATGTTGCCTTCCTTGGCTATGCTGGCTAAGGCTGGTGGGGGATCCAATCCAACAATATTTGGAAGGCTGCATGACTTCCATTCCCCTTTAAGAATAAAGACACTGCTCTGATTGGCACTCATCCTAAATTCAGTCTCTAGCACAGTGGTTCTTAACTTGTCGGTCCCCAGGTGTTTTGGTCTACAACTCGCAGAAATCCCAGCCAGTTTACCTGCTGTTATTTATTTATTTATTTATTTCCTGCATTTCTATGCCACCTTTCTCAGCCCGAAGGCAACTCAAGGCAGCTTACACTGGCATGATTCGATGCCACAATGAACATAAACAAAATTAAAACAAAATTAAAATAATTAAAATACATTAAAAAGACCTTGTAAAAGCATTAAAGGCATAAAACACCAGTAACTCCCTATTAGCTCATTTTCCAAAGACATTGTCAAGCCATTCCATGTTCATTCTTTCCTGGGTTCCATATAATTAAGATTTCTGGGAGCTGAAGACCAAAACATCTGGGGACCCACAGGCTGAGAGTCGCTGCTCTAGCATATCAGGTAGAACCCTGTCTTAAAATCCTGTCCAAAGCAAATGGACCAATGATCTGACTAAGTATGTGGTTGCCTATTTTATACCTCTAGTTTCAAACACTAGAACCTACCCAGAGGAAGGTTTGATACTGGTGAAAGGAAGATCAGCACTTGCAGAGCTCAGAAATTATCAGTTTAGAATTCCCCACAGCCAGAATGCCCACTGGTTGAGGGATTTTGGGAGCTGTAATCCAGAAAAAGAAACTTTTAAACTCTACTTCTCCTTATACTATTTTCTCAGTTGAAATCACTTTCTGCTTCCGAAGCTATTCACCTCACAAAAGGAAACCTGGTTGTAAAGCTGTGGCTCAGAAGGCAGATCAAGAAAAGATAAGAGGAGCACCCTCAGGAAAATAACCAGATTCCAGGCCTCTGCTCGCACTTTGACAGAGTTGGAGGTGGAGAACACTTCAGAAATTTTATTTCCTCCCACAAGCACAGAATAAACCTGTCTTTAAAGCTTTGCACAGTTTTTAACACACCTTTACAAAACTGCAGGAAAAAATCCCATCAACAAATTAAGGGAAATCTTAATGAAATTTTGACTGTTGGCCTTGAGAACTATCATCTGAGACATCAAAGGTGAAATTGTCAATACAGATTTTAATGTGAAAAAGGTGATACAGTTATTACAATATAGGAAAATAATGGATGTGTGTGGGTGAGATCCCTGAAATCACAGAATATGCCTGGCTTTTCAGGTGAAAGGTAGAAGCAATGACCTGGTCTGAACAGAACACTAAATTGCAGTTTAGTCAGTGCCATGGGCACAGGTTTTGAATATATGTGCATGCATTCACAAGGGCACACGTGTGCATACACACAATGGGGAACCCAGAGTGAAAGAGAAATGTTTACTTCTTTTTTCAATTAACCTGGATTTAAATATGGAATCATGTATGATCTTTAAAATGTTTTCAGAGAAACAGATTCATGAGCCATAATCTGAAGCTGGCTTGTTTTCCTAGACCATGGATAAATCTCACCACAATCTGTCAGGATCCAGACACAGCCAAGTAAGTCTAGTTTATTGCCGTGACGGTTTATGGCTTCCATGTTAGTAAGCAATGGATCTGCTTTGAATAGTCACTTGAACTTTTGAAGAAGCTAAAGTCTCAAATCCGACTCAACCCCAAAATAATTTCAGCACCTGGGATAGTTCCTTTAAGTTTAAGTAAAAACCTGGAATGGATTCCCTTCACCTTTAGCATAGAGCAGTTGTTTCCAACCTTTGGTCCTCCAACTGTTTTGGACTTCAACTCCCACAATTCATAACAGTGGGTAAGCTGGCTGGGTTTTCCGGGTGTTGAAGTCCAAAACACTTGGAGGACCAAAGGTTGAGAACCACTGGCATAGAGTTACTAGCTGCTATAGGTTAGTTGAAAACTTAAGCAAAAGCTTTTAATCTTTCTATAGATTCACCAGAAGAGGAAACAGGATGAAGTGAGCTCATAAAAATAAGGTTCATGTATATAACTCCAAAATAGAATGGATGCCAAAATACAAACACTGTTCAGTGTTTGAAGAGTGGCCTTGGCACATTATTTTTGCCAAGGCAGATATGCCACAAAGTTCAGAATGCATGCTATCTGCACATTAAAATAAACATGCTTGGCTATTCAGAGTCCCTTGCTGTATTCCTGCCCATGAAATGGGAATTTACAAAGACATTCCTCAAAATATGGTTAAGAGTAAACATTACAAAAAATGTGCCATACTTTGCATGTTAAAAGGAGTAAGTGGTTTAACAAGACAGATCCAACTGGAAGTCTTCTGTGCTGGAATAACAAAAAACACAAGATTAAAATCAGTACATCCTACAGAAAATCTGACCTGCATTTATTTATTTATTTATTTATTTATTTATTTATTTATTTACGACATTTATATGCCGCCCTTCTCACCCCGAAGGGGACTCAGAGCGGCTTACAAGGTATATATACATACAATATATTATATTATTAGCATAGTACAACATCAGTTTTAAATATTGCTATATTATACTATACCAATTATATTGTAATATTATTAGTAATATTACATGTAATATAAATATATAATTATAATATCATATTATTATTATTAGTATTAGTATTATATTGCATTACATTATAATATAAATATAATATAAATATAATATAATATGCATCTTTTGTAGTAACACAGTCGGCATACTTCTCATAATCTACTAATATACAGCTTTTATACTCCACCCTCCATTACAGTTTTCCACTGCACATATCAGATAAGGCACAGATAAATTTCCCTGATGTGGATCTGTCTTATCTGCCCATCCATCCGTGAGTCAAATGTCCATTCGGTACTAATAATCATGGTCATTGCACATCCAGTTTGCTTCACAGGGTGATGAAAATGACTTCTCTGGCATTACTGTAAAACTTACGCTTTAAGTGGGTTAATAAGGACTGGGAGACAGTTTCAACCAGCAGGTTATTTGCTTCCAATAAATTAGTTTTCTTCTTCCTTTACACATTCGGTGCATTTGGGCAAGTGTAATTGAAGGCAGACTGAGCTGGCTGACATCTGTTTTGTTACAAGATATATATTTGCCAAGTAACTGGACAACAATATCATTTGGTATGCACAGGAAGAACTAGCAGAACAATAATGACAATAATTGCATCTGATTCTTATGTTTACAACATTGGCAAAGAATCATTTTGGCCTTATTTATAGATAATGCTTATTAATCACATGGATTTGGATTTTGGAATGCATTCGATTAATATTCTTTTGTAGCTTGGTTCTGCTCTAGTGCTGTGAAGCAGCCTTTGGTGAAAGCAATTCGCTGAAATAACTTACTTGGGGGAAAGTTAAATACAGCTGGTAATTGCAGGAGATAGGTAAAGGACATAGGTACTTGTGTCTCCGTTATCAGAGGTGAACCAGGAGTAACACAGATATGACTCCAAAGAGGTTGCTGCCTCTGTGTGAGACAACCAGATTGGTATTGTTTAATTTTCTTTTCTTTTTTTCTTTTTTAAGCACAATACAAAGTGCTGGCCATGATGTTTGAAGTCATATGTGGTTCAGAACCAGGATATTTAAAAGATCACCCTCTGACACATAAACTTGCTTGCCTACTAAGTCCATCAGTTAGTGCTACGTCCCACCACCCTCAAATACAAAGTTCACACTGTGCTGGGAAAGTTATGTATTTCTGCTCCTGAAAATGGTAACTAAGCAGTCTGTCATTAAAATGTTGTGAGTCAGTCCTCCCCTTGTTCCTCTGTTGTTGCTGCTGCTGCTGTTGTGTGTCTTCAAGTCCTTTCCAATTTGTGGCAACCCCATCACAAGGTTTACTTGGTATGATCTGTCCTGAAAGACAAATCTTTGCCTTTTTCTGAGCTGAGTGTGACTTGCCCAACATCTTTCTCTAGTTTTTCATGATTGAGAGAGGATTCAAACCCTGGCCCCAAGAATCATAATACAACAAGCAAACTATTACATCACACTCGCTCCCTCTCCTCCCTTCTACCGACTTAAAATTGGAGAAGAGCAGATAGCATCTTTATGGTGCACAAAGTAATGGAAAATATTTTCCCCTGACATTAAGACTAGTTGTGTCCAATTCTGGGGGGGGGGGGGGGCTCATCTCCATTTCTAAGCTGAAGAGCCGGCATTGTTTGCAGACGCCTCCAAGGTCTTGTGGCAAGCATGACTGCATGGAGTGCCTTTACCTGCCCACTGAAGCGGTACCTGTTGATCTACTCACATTCACATGTTTTCGAACTGCTAGATTGGCAAAAGTTGGGGCTAAGAGCAGGAGCTCACCTTGCTCCCCAGATTCAAACTGCCAACCTTTTAGTCAGCAAGTTCAGCAGCTCAGCGATTTAACAAACTAACTTCTAATTTCATCTCCTGGCAAGTTTCATTGGATTCAGCTTCATTGGCTTTCCTGTATTCATTGAAAACAAATGAGCTTTGTCTTTTATTTGAAGTTACTTTCTGTTCGTTTGCTGTGTTTACGCTACTATGGATCCATGACCGAAATGACACTGGAGCCCGCGTTTCCTTTGTGTCCTTTACAACAAATACACTGATATTATTGCCCCATATTAAAATTTATATCCATTATATTTGGGAGTATTAAAAAACTTGCATTTGGAATGTCACACAAATAGGAAAAATTCAGAAAAAATATCAATTAAAAAAAAGATATTCTAACATTAAATAAAATAAGAGAGAGATAAATTGTTGTTTAAATTGCAACAGGAGCACAGGGTATAATTCATCTGTGTTTGTGTGTATACACAAGAGTCATATCCATATGTACACAAATACCTACAGATATACACACACCATTAGATCCATACTTTGTCATCCTTGGGACATATGTTTATATAATTAATGTAAATCATACTTATTTCAGTGGATCTGATCTGAGTCATACATTTGCATTATTTTTTTAGATTATTTTCCACAGTATGTTTTGCTGCTTCTGTTCAAAATTTTGTGTTGCATGTCTGTTTCAAGGGCTTTTGGTGAAAAAAAACCACAGAAAATATCAATATAAATAGCTAAAAGAAATGTAATGTTCAAAAAGCTCAAGACCTCTTCACTTTCACTTACATCATGCTTTCCAAATAGTGATAAAGCATATGCATGTATGAAACTAGTAAATAGATTAGACTGACTAATACAACAGTAGATACAATTCATTCTTTACATTGCATTTCATACAAGACCATAATTTTATCACATGTAGATTGACCTCCATTGTAAAATATCACACAGAGCAGCTTTAAACCATTTTATTTTAAAACAACTACAACATGAGATCTGTTTAAAATAAGTAACTTGTGGTTTTTCCCTATTTTATCTCAAGTTAGAATAATTTTTGGTGGATATGATATTTCTTCTGACTATTTCATATTTGTGTGGCACCTCCAAACCCCAAATATAACTAATATAAATCAAATTATGGAGCAGAAATATCAGTGTATCTGTTACAAAGGACACAGTATTAGGTGTATTAGAAAATGTGAGTTCCAATTTCATTTCAGCTAAAGATCCAGAGTAGCACTGGGGAAATCATGACCTCTCAGGTTTAGTTTCTCATCAGTAAAATGGACAGAAAGCAACTCTGTTTGACAGTTGTTATTATTACAGTAAAAAGGAGCAATTGTATGGACTTTGAATGCAAAAAGGACAAGTTACATTACTAAAAATAATGTATCAGGAAAGAACAATGTGCTGCATGCATTTTTCGTCAAGACAATTCTTCAAACATCATGTTAAAAAGTACCAGCGTTAAAATTATATTTATGTCTCGTTTTGTAGAAATCCCACTGATGTGAAAAGTAATAAGTGACTTCTTCAGCCAAAGGAATTTGAGAGAGAGAGAAATTCTAGACTTGATGAGTTTGTTTGCAGTGAACACTTGGTAAATGTATGTTTCAGATGGAGAGTCATTTCTGCCCCCATTCATAAATGCAAATCTTCAAAAATGAAAAAAAAAACAGGGAATAGGTTGTTGTGAGTTTTCCGGACTGTTTGGCCGTGTTCTCTCCTGACGTTTCACCCACATCTATAGCAGGCATTCCCAGAGGTTATGAGATCTGTTGGAAACTAGGCAAGTGGGGTTTATATGTCTGTGGAATGTCCAGGGTGGGAGTTTACCAGTATTTAAAAAACTCTAAAATCAGGACAGTAAATAAAGAGGGATACTAAAAAAAAAACAGGGGACTTTCTGACATGAAACAATCAGGGCCAGCGATTACCTCCCAACAAAGGATTCCCCCAGGCAGCAACCAGCCAGACTTTGAAGCTATAAGGCTATTCAGTACTAATTAAGGTGGCCAATTGCAACATTTGCACTTGCCTCAGGCAGACAAGAGTTCTTTCTCCCACCCTGGACGTTCCACAGATAAATAAACCCCACTTTCTCTCCAGGATGGGAGAAAGAACTCTTGTCTGGTTGAGGCAAGTGTGAATGTTGCAATTGCCCAGCTTGATTAATTTTGAATGGCCTTGCAACTTCAAAGCCTGGTTGCTTCCTGCCTGGGGGGATCCTTTGTTGGGAGACGTTAGCTGGCCCTGATCATTTCTTGTCTGGAATCCCCCTGCTTTTATAGTGTTGTTCTTTATTTACTGTCCTGATGTTTATATTTTTCTTCTTTTAATGCATAAACTTTGTTGAGGATCTTCACTTAATATACTGCCCAGAACTGAATATACTTTATACCCTGAAACTGTTTTAAATATATGAATATCAGATGTAGGCAAATATACCCTCCAGATATTGTTGAACTGCAGCACCCATCATTCCACACTATAGACTATGCTGGGAACTGCAGTCCTCTAACATGTAGATAGCCCTCCTAGTTAGGAGGACAACAAGCCTCTTACCATTAACTTGAAAATAATGTCCAGTAACTGAGCAACAATTACCCACAAGTTAATATGATTTAGCATTTGGTGATTTACAGTGTAAGTCAACAACAACAGCAACAACAACAATAATATGTAATATTATAATGACTGTTGCTTTTACTGAGTCTATGGACCATAATAAATATTGTTGTTAGTATAAGTCTATGTAATTTTATTTGTAAGTCCTGTTGGTAAGTGTGCTCATGCCCAGGAAAATGCCTACAGGATCTCAATCTCTAGCTCTGTAACAAGGTTTTCTTGTTACTTTTAAAGGAGATTTTTAAGGGAATTTGGGGAAACGTTGTCAGTGATTTTTCAACTTTTATTCCATTCTCCTAGCAGTCCTAAGTTGTTGTGTTTCAATTTAAAAAAAATAACAAAT